GTTTGGCTGAGGTCATATGACTGCCGATCGATGACTAATAGAACTTATATCCGCTACAACCTTAAAAGGAATGAAGGTGGCTTCATATTCTTATTTTTGACATTTGCGTCCGTTTGAGAGGCTTCGTAAATTGTTCGTATATTTAAACAATTAACATATTATTGTTTGCTTTTCTGATTATGCTGGAATGTAACCCAATGAAGGGAGGAGGGGAAGGGAAGTTTTTTAACGTCAGGAAATGCTGTTACGCCTATTCCTGCGGCATTTTGCTCAAGCAGGTTTAAGTGTTGTATTAGCCCTAGTTGTTTTTTTATTATTTTTAATTTTCAAATGTTAAAAACTAATTTAAATTATATTAATTAGTAACAATCCAGTGGCGCTACAGCCATAAATGGGTTTTGGCCTTAGATTGCACCAGTTTCTTTATATTTCATAGACAACTGCGTTAGCCTTCTGTTTGACGCATGTTGTCGATATTTGGATGTGAGACATGGCTTCGTCACGATGTTTTCCTTCACCGTACGAGCGAGTTTTAGATGCGCATATAGACAGAAAGCCCAGTGGTGCACAGTCGGGGATCGAACAGCAGAGATGAGAGACGCACACTGACGCCCTGACACTGTTGGGGCGTCAGTGTGCGTCTCATTAACAACAATTGAATAATTCAAGTACAAACACTACCACAACTTGTAACTTGTTAGGATATTTAAAAAAAAATTAGAATAATATAATATTAGCTACTAGATTGGTTAGATTATACAGTAGCAAGGTACGGTGTTCGGTTTCACCGTTGTAATAAAAACAAAGCGTATAGTAATTCAAGCCATAGGAAAGTAGGCGTATTGAAGTAGCGAGAACATTGTTATGGTCCGAGTAACATTTTCGCTACACTCGCTCTGATTCGCTGGACTGAGCCTAGTTCCTTTAGACGCTTTAGTTTTTTTTTGGGAATAGAACAGTTGAATTAACTAACGCCACAAGAGTTCCCTATGTAGCAAAATATAAACGGTTGACTACGACTGCTGTAGATATAACATTCTTAACGCGGAGTTATGTAAATTATGTAATAAATTCGCGTTACAACAGTTTCACTTTAAAAATACGAAACTATTTAAAAAACAAAATTCAATTCAGTTCGTTCAAATGCACGAGTTTGGCCAATGAACTGATATTCGTGAGTGAAATCGTTTACTTGAATATTACGAAACTCTTTGAACCTATTAATCAGACTAAATAGTATTTAAAATTAAATTTTATGTAAATGCAGGTGGCATCCTTTATTATTTTTATAGAATCAAGTATTATAGTACATAATACCATACTATACCTGTGATTTGTTTGTGTTGACTGGGTTTGGAGTGACTGAAACAGATGGTCAACCTTCTTATGATAATATCAATGAACAATAAAGATTATGAATAAGGGTTATACGTTTTAACGTATTTATACTAACTTGATTTCTTTTTCTAACAGGTTCCGAGGCAATCCAACGCAACCTGACTGAACCAATGTAAGCTATATTCATGATATAATACTTGATTAGATAAAAATATATATCCTTACAAATACCTAATTATAAAAAGTCCGGTTGCATTTGACTGAAATATAACAATTATATATAATAGTACGAAAAATAAATCCCAAATGTACGAAATCCACGAGGGCGAAGTTAGTTTTTTATAGAACAGTCTCACCTGATGTGTTATAACATCGCGTACATCAGCCAAATGACAAACCCATAGATACACATTTACAATGCCAGAAAGGTCGCGAGTACGGTTTCAGCCTTTTAAAAATTTGTACGGACCTTTTTTCAAGGACCCTAAGTCGGATTGCTTCGGAAATCCCTCGACAAGCAGATAATTCTACATAGTGGTCCGGAAATAAGTGCCTTAAGAAACGCTTTGTTATTTCAGAAATAAGTTAAAGTGCAACTAATCTATCAATTGATCATTGGATTTGGATTGGTAATAGACTTATGTAAAAGATCTCTGATTTTGAGACTAAAACCACAGGATTTAATATTGTTCTTACTTTATAATTTCCAAATTAAATGACAAAAATACGCCAATAGTTCCGCCATAAGCGATTGTAGCTCAATAGACAAACCTTCTTCACCTAAAAATTAGAATACATGAAATTGCAATAGTTCCCACAGCATCAGTTACTCGTTATGCAATGGAGGTCATTGAACTTGCCGCTCCCATTCAAATCGATACGAAACTTTCATGCTTTCATAAATTTATACTAAAAAATTGTCTAAGTACCAAAAAATCACGTTGAGGTCGCCAAGGTAATTGGTAAGATTAAAATCTGTCTAAAATGTAACTATATAAAGCAACCCATGCGCGTGCATATACATTTCTAAGTCTATTTGATATTTTTTAAAGATTTTGACTTGGATCAGCCCCCTGATCGCTGAAAGCATATAAAGTGTTTTAAATGTCTTTGCTAATAACTATGCAAGCATGCACTAGCAAGAAACACATACATTTCTTCAAAATCGATAAATTTTTAAAGATTTTTACTTTAATTATCATTTTGATTTGAAAATATTAATATAACGATTTAATTTAATCACGTACAATTATTGGCTACATTTCTAATAATTGGATAAAGATAACATTTTAGATTTCCCACAGAAATCTTGCTACAAACTACAAAAGCATGTATCTTTGTCAGTCGTAATTTGTTCAAATACTTGAAAATGTTATGATATACTAAAAATACCTACACTAACATTGTTGACACATGTGTCCACTAACTTAATATACGTACTATAATTATTTTTCGTTGACCTTTATACATACTTAATTTGGCTTTGGCTAAATTTTATTAGGACAAAATTCGTCTAGGTAAAAAGATTATAATTAATAATAATCATTTTCATAAAAAATACATATATGAACTTGTCTTACCTCACCTATAGATTTTAAGCTCAATATTATCAATTAACGTTTTATTCAACAGGTAACAATGATATACGTAAATAGTTTAAGTTGCATGTTTGTATGATATCAATGTAAAAGATAAAAAAAACTCACTTCTCTGTTTATTGTTATCACCAAAATGAATTAGTTGCCCTTTTTAGTGAAAATAGAAATCTAACACGGAACATTAAGAAATCTAAGGCTAATAATAATTCTAAGAAAACCTCAATATCCGTTACTCGCAGGTTTATAACTTAGTTTTTATTGATACCGTAATATTATTGCATCAGCGTAGGGTATTGCAGCAGGGTTGTCAGTTTATGCCGGTCATTGGGGCTAGCTGCCGGTGCGGCCCTTGTAAAAAAAAAATATCGCGTGTCCGTAACAGTGTAATGTTTCAATACAAATAGTGTGAATAAATGTTTAAAGCGGAAAATGTTATATAAAAATCTTTTAATAGTCTCTTTATCGTAAGAGCCCATAGATATTGAATTAAATGTGTGGTGTGTCCTTTTAGGGAAAAACTTGGTATCGATGATATGTTTAGGTAGACGGAAAGAAAGTAGGAAAATAAGCAAACTCGTTGGAATCTAGATAACTTTTGCTACCGGTTTTATATCTTGATGAGAGACTACATTCCATAGTGTTATTACTTTTTTGTATGTGGAAAATTTAAATTCACATTAGAGATTTGTGATAAAACAACTCGTTTGACCAATGTTACCTATATATTAGTGCACACCGAAACCATACAACAACATTTATACATCAATGTTTTTTGATAAATATAAGGGGGTGGGTGTAAATTTCTATCTGACTCCGTTAGGAATTTCTTGAATTTAAAGTGAGTATAGGTTTGTGCACCCCAGCTGCTTAAAAAGTGCTGCTAAGTACTTTTTAATCATCCCAAAAACGCTAAGAAATAAATTATATAGAACAACCATACCTTTAAGTTTTAACTGACTTCAAAACCGAAGGGGATCAATAGACGCGTTTTTTTTCTTTTAATTAGACAAATAAATTAATGATTTCAACGGGTAGATTCGACCATTCCAGTATGATAAACATTTATGAAAACGTGCTTTTACTTGTATGCAAAGTCACAACCAGTAATTAAGAGTGATCAGATAGACAGGCATCATTTGAGTCTCATGTTGAAACCTTCTGGTGCAACTAAGCTCACATTTCTTGAGATATTTGTGTAGAGAGCGTAACACTTGTTTCACTCTTTGTAAATCAATCGTGTACACGTCAATACAGCCTTAATAAATTAGTTTATATTTCAGAATCAAATTAAGTTAGATCTGAAATATAGTTATTGAATGTTATATGAAATATAGATAAGTTAAATAAATATGAAAATCAAAATTTAATAGGAACATAATTCCATAAGGATCTAAATAATTAAAGCGAGGTTCTTTAGTAGGTGAAACTCAGTAGATGTGTTCTAACCCAAATTAATCATTAACTGAGTATTATACTTTGCTCATCAAGCAAAACGACATAAATGTAAAAACAATGGAACAAAAAACAAGAATTGCAATCGGCTGCGTACAAGCCGTACCAGTCACACCTTTGCTACGAGACCCGATAACACAATTTCCTTATCGACATGCTCATTTATTATTGAATTTCTATGTAAATTAGAAATGCAGTGCACTAGCGAAGCATTGGTGTAATACATCGTATTTAGGTAACGCATTTGCCGCAAATTAACCCCGCGAATCAAGTATGAATTGTGTTTTACCGTCAACTGCGTTCCTGATAGTAAAGAAAATATAAATGTTAAATCGTTTGATAGTTAATATCCCAGAAAAACACACAGATATCTAAAACTTATGACATCCGCGTGCGTCAATTCTGAAATAATGAAATTAATCTTTTCAATTATTATTAATACAAGATAAGATTCGAAAAGAGTTCTTACTTAATTTTTGTTAGGTGAATTATCACAAAAATTATGTTTTATTTATATAATTCTAGGTGGTAGGAAACGTATTTTTATTTTTTTCTTAATTAACTAAGCCAATATATTCTTAAAAAATGTAAATAAGTGATGGACTTACATAAATGTTGGAGGCGGTGTTCCTCGGACCTGACAGTTTGAATTTGACTGGTTATCTTGAAGTATTTTGGAGAAGATTGGTGCTGCTCGCCAAATTACTGGTTATCTACTTCCGGATACTGAACAGACTTATTTATGGTTAGAATTACTTTACGTAAGGTGAAATTATAAATGACATGTATTTAAGGTTTTTAGCTAAACGACAAAGATTTGATGAGTGAACATGTAACCAAACTTAATTAATTACGCAGCTCATTTATCGCAGTTCTAAATTTGATTCTTTTAAGTTATATGAAATCCTATTATTTGCCTGTTAAAGTTTTCAAAGTTAAAGTATGAACACTCATAAAGACTGTATACACTATACATATACTACAGTAAAGGTCATAATTTAGTTATTTGTAATTGTAGATTAAAACTGTACACGTACACTGATTTCAATAAAAATTGAATGTAATTTACCTATTATAGTGTGTTTGCAAAGATTTATAAGGAAATATTACGGACCTTTAAATTTCGACAGATATTAGGTTTGAGAATAATGAGTTAAAATATTATAATATCCTACATGTGGTATATTTAAAACATGTTTTGGAAAATATAAATCCATTTAAAAAATGTACTTACATTAAGGCCTTTTAGAGCATAACCATATTAAAGTAAGAGTTGTTTTTGTACCAACATAATTAATTGAAATCGAGCACAGATCACAATATTCAATTAAAAACTTTTTTATACTCTCACATCGTAAAATTCGAATTGTGAATTTAAAATCACTGCTACACTGCTTTATTAACGCAATACTGACCTGAAATAAAACTTATTTTAGTTGTAATCTAAAGTTTTAATCAAAATTTTTGTTTTTTAACCTTCATTCATTAAATAATTTTTGGTAGTTAAGACTTATGAGACGTCATTATATCAAAGGACAACTAAACCATAATATATCCCTAAGATGTATCCAAATACTTATCTGTGATAGCGCTCTCTTTGCAAGCGCTGTAATATTCTAAGTTTCGGCGCCATTTTGATTCACTCTTTACCTCTTCTTGATCTATGATTCATACTTAAAAGTTCTGTCCATAAATTATTATAAAATATTCTTTGCTCGATATTTGAGAGCCGAGTACAAAATGACCCAGTAAAAAAGTAAATTATAATTGAGAATCGAGTATATTAATATTATAATTAAGTTATAATTACACTATAAGTCATATCATTATTATGACAATAAATATATATCCTTCAGATATAAAATTTAAATACTTTTGATTTGTTTTTGTGTAATGTATGTTAGTTTTTGCTTAGAGCATTTACGTCATATAACTTGAGGAAACTCAATTAATTTTATGGAAATCATAATATACATTTTAATTTATCTTAATTATGGCAATTTTTATGATATCAGGTAAATTATAATTTAATTATATATTTTCAGAGTTGAAGGTGCCGGCGACTGTGATGATGGCACCGAGTGTTTTCCAAAGAACCAAATCACCGAGATCTTCGCCAGGAAATGTACCACGTAAACTTCAGGTATATTACTTTGCATTTTATAAAAATATTAAACAATAAGAAACACAAAGACCCGGGTAGCGCTACAACCCCTTGGACTTGCCGTTGATTTCAATATCTTGATTAATTATTATTAATCAATATCAATAGGTTATAAGCCTTGTGTGCCTGACACACGTTATCGATTTTTAAGGGTAAGACCTGCTGCTGACCTAACGAAGAAGTAAAGTACACACACAATATTCGTACACCGCCGGGATTTAAATGAACATCCTTAGATTAGAAGTGCCACATTTGATCAGATTTTTCTTTTAAACGCTCCTAAATAAAAATTAGGATATTAGAAATTTTAAAAATTATTGAGTTAAGTTAGTATTAATATGTGAATTAATCGAATTTCAGAATGGTAAAGGAACTACTAACGTGAGCCAAGCTGTAAGCCAAGCAGAGAACACAGCAGACTCCAGCCCGGGCAACTCAATTTCCGACGCAGAGAACTTCGAATGCTATGGAGAAGCTGATGGAGACACATCTAGCAATGCGTTGGTTTCTAAAACATCTTACTTTAACAATAATAAAGCCTTGATTTGCAGTTATAATACCAATGAAGAAGTAATAAAGATAACTTATGTGCCGATTGGATTACAAAAGTCATTATTTTCTTTTTTCGGGAAAGACCCAGCTTTAGTAATTATTGATTATATCAGTATATCATCCTCACACTTGAGGTGTTGGGCTTATTACCTTCTTTTATGCACTCTTGGAATCTTGTCTAATGCCATCTGTCAAATTTTCTTACATTTAGTAAAAAATCTTTTATCTATGTAGTTTTAAATCGTTGAATTCATTTCATTTATTAATTCGCGATGCCATACTTCATCTAAACGCCGAACAAATTAAACAGGAACTTTTTGAACATAGTTCCTGTTTTATCTTTATTAAGGCGAGACGGTATTTCACCCGGCCCCCCCGCACCAAATTAAAAAAAGAGCAAATCCGCCCCCCGGGGGGGCCCCCCCCCCCCCCGGGGGGGGGCCCCCCCCCCCCCCCCCCCCCCCCCCCCCCCCCCCCGCCGGGGGGGGTGGCTCCGCCCCCCCCCCCCCCCCCCCCCCCCCCCCGTTTCCCTTTTGGGGGGGGGGGGGGGGGGGGGGGCCCCCCCCCCCCCCCCCCCCCCTTGGGGGGGGGGGGGGGGGGGGGGTTTTTTCTCCCCCCCCCCCCCCCCCCCCCCCCCCCCCGGGGGGGGGGGGGCCCCCCCCCCCCCCCCCCCCCCCCCCCCCCCCCCCCCCCCCCCCCCCCCCGGGGTTCCCCCCGGCCCCCCCCCCCCCCCCCCCCCCCCCCCCCCCCCCCCCCCCCCCCCCCCCCCCCCCCCCCCCCCCCCCCCCCCCCCCCCCCCCAGGCAACCCCCCCCCCCCCCCCCGGGGGGCCCCCCCCCCCCCGGGGCCGGGGGGGGGGGGGGGGGGGGGGGGGGGGGCCCCCCCCCCCCGCGCCCCCCCCCCCCCCCCCCCCCCCCCCCCAACAATATCATTCATAAGAATTTATTTATTATAGAACACCTGATCACGTAAAATAATTTCTGCAGTTTAAGTAACAATCTAATGTTTGAACATAGGTATATGACAATAACGCTGGACAAAAAATTTACAAACAAAATACTAAATAATATAATATTACATTTCTAAAAAAACAGAACAAAGAACCGTGAACATTAAATTAAAAAATTACTTATCCAAAGATTTCACTAGTTACTACTACATGACTCTTTTTTCATCACCGCATTAACCCAATGCGACGAATGGAGACTGTAGATAAAAGTTATATTAAGTCTCGTACTTTTAAACATAAGGGAGATGCTGGAAGAGTAAGAAATGCTAAAACATACTCGTTTTCAAATAGTATCCGTATTTACGTGATTAATGTCTATTACACACCTGATTTTTTATTCGTAAAATGTCTATGTAGTAGTAAGTTTTTGCATGTGCATCGAAATAGTCGGTGTATTTTAGTTTAGTATTAAAAAGCATTTTCCCCGCTTATTTGTTTCACGGACTTAACAATCTCTTATTACAGATTAGAAAATGGATCCCGAAGTCCTGGGAATAATCTCAATCGACATTCATGGACGAGAACTAGCTTACGACGGACTCCTCCAAGGTACAATATTATCATAAGAATAATTTATCGTTTACGTATAAACCTCTTTACTATAGTATGATAAATTATACAGTATTTACAATTTTCTTAACTCACAAAGTAGTAATAAAAATTATTAACAAGAAGAAAAACAAGAAAAAAAAACAAATTTAAAAAATATTGGTCCCAGTGGCAGTGTATAAATAATAATTTACTTACTTCGCACGACTTTCGTATTGTGATTATATTTCGTTTCAATATCTAAAATCTAGTCGTCTTGCAAAGTCTAGAATCTGGTATGTCTAAATAGGCGTATTCGCTTACCGCAAAGATCTTATATTTTGAAAAACAATCACTTAGATAGAAGATTTAGTATAGTAATATGTTAAGGTATCACAAATATAAAACTTCACTTATCATAAATGTAAACAATAGTTTAATTATAAAATGTAAGTTTATACTTGATTGTAAATAATATTTTTAAATATACTATATACCGAATTGAAATATATTACTTCTTGAAAAAAAAACAATAAAGTTTTAAGTAGATTATTATGTTAAGTACCGTAAACATGTCAAATAGAAGAGACTTTCTACCCACGATACAGAGATTACTAGTGTGGTGGCTAGTGCACTTTCATTTTAAACATCCTTTTTATTATTTTTACTAAAGATTTTTTTTCATAGTAATGCTGGTTCTTGTACGCAACGAGCGCCATCTCGCGAGATGAACGTTAACTTAGCTAAATTACCTCTTGTTTAGTACTTTGCACAGGGTAATATTACACAAATTTGCGTGAAAGACTTTTTAACATTTCCAATTATATTCGACGCGTTATATTTTCGTCTTCTATAATATGTCACTGCAGTATTTTTGGTATCAATTTCTAAATGATAATACGTTTTCAATTAAAAAAAACTACATAATTGTAACAATAGATAAGGTATTCAAATAATAAACCAAAAGAAGCGATCTTGTTGATGACTAACAAAAATCTATGTACTTTTATTGTCCCACGCTTGTTATTCTTTTGTTATTTAATCGCGAATTGCACGTTAATGTCTGAGAAATAAAACATACACTTCAGCTATAATTTATTTTATATTATGGAAGGCCATGTAACAATTGTTTTAAGGGTAATTTATATTCATAAATGCTCTCACGTGCCTACTCAACAAAAAGTTTAGTTTTTGTTTATTGGTTTATTGGTCCAGTATGTAAAATGTCTCATTACCAATTTAATCCTTAGGAATTTGAATTAGGAATGTTATTATTAAATATTTCAATCACCAAATAGATCGATCACAAACATTGTATGATACCGTTACTGGATATCAAAATCCGCGCGGACCAACCTAAAAAACAAAAGTTTCTGTAAAAATAAAAACCCGCAAACCGCATTCTTTTGTTTATGTTCTTCGCTGCACTCTGGATTCATAAAATATTCATGCGTTAATAATAGTGGTTTTGTCCTGTGGCAAATAATATTCTATTCTATATTTCTTGCTTTGGATGAAGACGTAGTGCGGTCCATCGTATGCTCAGGCGCATTATCAATCTCGGGTCGATTAAATATTAAGTAACCATTAGGTCTATGAGCAGTGGTGTAACAATAGGGTGGCAGGGCTGGCAAAATTCCACGGGCCCCCGACCCAAGAGGGCCCCTGCCCAAGAGATATTATGTTCTATGGATGAATGTGAAGTCTCCAATATGCATTATGCTAGCATGGGGACTACAGACCATTCCCTCTCGCCAAAGAGTGGAGGCCTATGGCCATTAGTGGGACATATACAACGTGTAATTCAGTACGCTGAAAATCTCGAAGTTTATTTGAATTAAACAGAGTATAACGTGACGATTTTTAATTATAGGGCCCCATCACAAGAATTTGCCACGGGCCCCAGATGGTATAGTTACGCCATTGTCTATAAGAATTATGGAATAGAGAAGAGAAAGTAGTCGCCGTGATCTAAGTTAACCTAATATAAATAAATTTTTGAACCGATACTTATTGGTTGTATATTCATTGCCATTTTGCTAAACTTTAGTTTCGCACATTTGTAATAATTTTGTTTTGCTTTTGTCATTTATGTTTGCTTATTTTCTTTTGTTTATTTCTTTTTAGTCATCAAGAAAACCTGCCACATCGCAGATGGGGATCCATGAGGCAGTAAGTATTTATTACAAGTTTATTGAGAATCATTTATTCAATACCGGCTTGGCAAGGTTGGATATCACAGACCTTATTGTGGATTTTTATTGTCTTTTATCATATGGTAGTAAAACACTTTTCTTTATTTTCAATCATTTCGGCAGCGTACGTGATGTAGGGATTTTTATTATTATTATTTTCATATGTAAAATCTGTCTGAAAATAAAAGAAATAAGGCCTTTGTTCATCAGGGTGTAAGAATTCTTCAAATCGGTCCAGTAGTTTTGGAGCGAAAATCACTCCTCTTTCATATTAGTGTAGAAGTCTAATCACTAATCATAAATTGTCAAGCAAATACATTTTCCGGTAAATCTTAAAAAATACAATATTTTTATACAAGAAACATAGCAGACTTCGTAGTTCTAGGTTCGATTCCCGTTGAAATAATTGTTTTTAAGAGGTAGGCACTGATAACGTACTCGCCATGAATGAAATGAATGAAAAGTTTACAAAATTTTGTCAGAATATACAAAAGTATTTATGTAGCGCATCTGTTTTCTAAAGACTGGTTATTAAAAATCTTGATAATGACGTTGCGTGCGTGGTAATCGTGGTGGGAGTAAATTGACCAACATAATATGACTCGTTGGGCGATTGTCCTTCACAATCACAATATTATGACACGTTCGAATATTGTTCTTGTGGGCGGTTAACATTTCGCAATTTAATGAAATTTAATATTCAATTAAAACTACGTTAGGACCTTTTCCCCGTTGTGTTACTTACAAGTTGACCAATGTAAGTTGACATTTGTGTCCCGCTTTGCGCAAACTTTCCCCCACTCCCTTGCTTAATGCTCAAGAAGTTTGCCGGTATCTGTACTCATTCTGTTCTGTAGCGAAAAGAGATAAGCGAGTCTTTTAAGAGAGTTATGTTTTCCCGTGAAATCAGTCCGTGTACTACTCGAGGTACAATAATGTTTGCACTTTTGTTGGTAAAATCATCACGGAAGCAGTCGGAAAAAGTGCCGAAAATGTAATAACTGGTTAGGCTGTTGCGAATTTACGTATTAATTCATGCAAATCTCCCTTCCCTCAACGAATCTGGAATATTTCACGATTTCCTTTAAAGATTTTTTATCTATAAAAACCGTAAATAGCGATATTTTTGGTTGGTTCACAAACCCATTATCAACGTCCTTAGTACACGTTACACAAACTTCCTTTCACGCCATTACCTTCGCACCGAAAAACTGTTAATTTGTCTAATAAATCCAATAAACGGGGCCGTGGGATGTTTTACAAGTTACCATTACGGCCTTGAGAATCGGATCGGAATCGTATTATCGATCTAGTTTGTCTGGTGACACTTTTATCTACCCTTTTTAATAACGATATGAAGCTTAATTAATCACTCAATATATCTTTAGGAACTATCCTATAATATATCCTACTGTAGTATTAGAAGTTTCTATGTCATTAAACCGCCATTTAGGTTTTATTTCTACCTATTTTACCCTTGTCACAGACATTTTTATATATTTTTAAGGCACATTAAATAACAAATCTACATTAGAAAGAATATTGTTTATCTAATAAATAAATACAGTCAATATGAATAATGTTCTAGACTTCCGATTAATTTTGTACGGTTTTAGTATTAAAATTTTGAAAGAATTAATTTAGTAACTTTTACATCTTACAAAAGGAAATGAATAACCGCACATTAGTGTTTCACAAAAATGTTTAAGACGTTGCAGCGATGGTCAAACCGAACATAAAAAAGAAAAGTGCATAAAGCTACGCAAGCGCAACGCAAGTTAATAGTTTCTCTGCGTGTTATTTCACTTAATAATATAATAATCACAGTGTTGTAAGCATTGTATTAATCTTATTGTGTTAATCTGCAAAGGGAAGATAAGAATTTACTTTGGTAGAATGTGATCACATACTATATAACTGGAAAAATTATGGTTTCTTCAAATCTTTCGTTTTGAACCTCTTATATATTTGATTTCCAGTTATCCCATAGCTTCGGTAAAATAACAAAAAACTGAATACATATTTAAACACAAACATAAAACACAGTTATTACAATACAGTGTAAACTCTGTATAACGTTATTTGTTATCACGAAAAACTCTCTATAACGTAAAAAATAGTTATAAGTATTTGTTTGGTTTAACACAAAACCAATACATTAATTCTTCCCTCTTTATAACGAAGGGAATAAAAGTCGTTATATAGTAGTAATATTCGTTTACACTGTATTTATTTTAATATTTTTTATACGCAGTTTTTTTGCGATCTAGCGAACTGTGGTAACGGCTCCCGGTGGAGGTATTCCCTGGGAGATACGACCTCCAATTGTTGTTTAAAAAGAAAGATAAATATACTACTTCAATGGTCGGCAACTGGTGTTCATGGGCAGGGTGAATGCCTTCTATGGCTATTCCATAGGCTTGTTTGCCCCGCTATATTATATAAAACGTTGTATAGAAAAAGAAAAGAAAACGTACGTCCTAATGATAAGATGTTCAGATCAGTAGAAGTGACAATTAACAAGAGATCTCTAATACTATTTATTTCTTTCCTTTTCAAGCATGTTATAGCTTAGACCATCTCCTACTTTAAATATCATACCTGTAGTCCGTCAGATGTCTCACGTTTGAATATTAACTATCTGTACAGCTATATATGTGCTTGATAACCCAATTTTACCAGCCATAAAAGGCTTGATTGGCTCACGAGACATAGACTAAATTTTTTGAAACCTATTCTTAGAAACTAATTTAAATTTATAGATAAAACATGTTTTAGTTATTGTTAGATAGTTGTTATTACACAAAGTACTTTTGTGAGAGTAGTTTTAAATTAAGTCTAGATTGTCTAAAAAGCTGTTAGCAGTAATGCTGCCCGTTTACAGAATTTATCTTCTTTAAATTATTTAAAAGAGCAGAGTTGGCCTAGTGGCTTCAGCGTGCAACTATCATCCCTGAGGTCGTAGGTTCGATTCCCGTTTATGTGCGCATTTAACATTCGCTCGAACGGTGAAGGAAAACATCGTGAGGAAACCGCGTGTGTCAGTCACAGAAGGCTTGCCTATTAGATAGAAAAATCATGAAACAGATTCAGAAATCTGAAGCCCAGACCTAAAGAGTTTGTGGCGCCACGACAAGGCAGATGACAACATCAGAACGATTTTTTAAAAATTGTTTTATTGTTTATGTAATGACAATTTATAGTATTGTTCTATCAGTTTCGCGATGGAAAAGTAAGAGAAAGTCTGAAGGCAGGAACGAATGGGAAGGAAAATTAATATTATAAAGGTTAATATTAGAATGAAAATATCTAGTTATAATTTATATAGATATTATACGTATATTTCAATTTGAAATTGAAAAAAAATATTTAAAAAAAAACCATTTCTTTAACAAAACTTCAATAGTCATAGTAGATGATATTATAGGGCCAATATATTATACATTAAATTATTTTCAAAATGACAAGTGTGAAATGTCGTTTTTAATTTAACGAAAGGCTATTCGTAGCGTGCACACGTCCGGCCTCAAACTGCTTAATAATTTAATAACTGTTTCACTACTGGCTGCTATTGTGGATAATTCATACCTTCACTATGGTATAATAATGTTAATATGGTATGCTAGTATACTTGGCATATCTGATGTATAGATTGAAGTAGTTTAACTTAGTGAAAAAAAATTGCGTATATTTTAAAAATTTAATCAAGAAGCGTTCAGTTTCGGCTAAATATTAACCAAATTTTTAATATACGTTATTACGTACAGAGACATTATTTTTTACACCTTGAGTTACGTTATCGAAGTTTTCATTTATATAGAGTAGATAATGTAGGGTTCTAATGGTGAAAGATTTTTTAATTCGGTCCAAGTAGTTTAAGAGACTATTCAATGCAAGCAAACAAACTATCAAATCTGTATTATAAATTATTATCATATATAATCTTTAGTATAAAATATTTATTAATAAAACTATTAACTCCAGAAGAACATTAAAAAAGGGGGAAGCGCGTGTACTTATGTACGCGCGTAAGAAGTTATACTTCTTTGGCATTATTAAAAATAGTTTTTGATTGCATGCAAATAATTAATTACAATCAAATAATCAAAGACTGGAAAAGGAGTCATTAAAGTCAATAAAGTTCAGTTTACATTTGAAAAATTAATTAAATAAATATTTATTATTATTCTCTTACATTAAACAAATAAAACACTATTTATCTTTAAAACATTTTTATTTCATTATACTATTTATTTTTAAGTGACTCTAATGTCTTCATCAGAATTTCGGTTTGTAATTTTAAATTAATCATTACTTGGTAGTGCATCTACGAGGCTTCTCCAAAACTACTTGCTTTCTGCAACAAATAAGAGAATATTAATTTAAGCTCTGTCCATGCAAAACATAAAATTTTTTATAATTCATATTATAAATTTTTAACACATTTATATTAATATAATTATATAAATGTGTTAATAATATAATTTGTAGCACATGCTACAGACCTGGATAGCAACTTTCTTTTATTCTATTTAGAGATAGAGATAATTTAAATATAATACCGGTGTCTTCCTTGTAGGTTTCTTTGGAGTTGTTTGGGGATTCTTGTTGTTCAGTTCGACATGATTTTCTTTAACCTTTCTTTAATCCTACAAAATAATGAAATTGTTAAGTTATGTTGTCACTGTTGTGCACACCTTTGTTTGGCTTTTTAGTATTCAAGTTATGTCAAAACTGATTTATTACCTTGTCATTGTTGGCTTTATTTGCTTTTGGGATATCAATTGTTTCCAAAATGATTTTATTTGTAATAACCTGAAATATATAAATAACATCTATTAATTTAAGTATCATGGTGAGTGGTTCGCACTCAGGTATTAAGGTGTATTATACCCACTGTCCATTATAAGTGGGAATGGGCTCACTTCTGGCAGGACAGAGTTTCGGTACTACAAGTGCAACATGGATGTTTTGAGG